AGTAGTTGTTTTTGAAAAATTCCACCATAGTATCTATCATCAAGGCCATATTTTCTAAAGACTGGTCTTTCTTCTTTTCCACCTTATAAATTCCAGTCACCAGTAATTATCAATGCATTTTTGAATGTATGTTTGATCAGTTTCAGACTCCAGAAGTGAGTAAAAATATTCAATATTGTCATCTGTGGCATCAGTAGTTATTAGAGCATAAATTTATAGTAACATTAACTGGTCTAATAATAGTCATATTAACTGGTCTTCCTTGTAAGTATATGGCTATTAGTGAAGCACTGGCTTAAGAATAGATTTTGAAATGTTCTTTTTAATAATGAATGTGATGCCACTCCCCTTCAGTTAGTCATTCTCAGCAACATAGATCATAGGTTTCTTTTTTTTTTTCCATAGGTTTCTTTAATAGCGCTAATATCAGCCTATTTCAGCCCGCCAATATCTGGGATAGGTATTCCATTTAATTTTTAATGGCTTTCAGTTTTCTTGCCCTGATGTAGTGGTTATGCGTTGGGCTACAATTGGAAAGGTTTGAATCCACCAGCAGCTTTGAGGAAGAAAAGCTGGGCTTTCTAATGCCATAAACAACTACACGCTCAGAAACTTGCAGGGCCATTCTACCCTGTCCTATAGGATCACTATGAGTCAGTATTGACTTGAGGGTAGTGAGTTTGGTTTTCAGTTTTTCTAGATTCCTACTTCATACAAAACATATTCCTACTATTGATGGGTGTTTTCAGCAGATTCTTCTCATTGGGTGTAGTGCCATACAACAAATAAAAAGTCCTGAATGTTTTACTTCATCCACATCTTGAAGGAGGTAAGCTCTTCCTCACTCATATTTTGAGTGTCTTCTAATAGGAGGGGTTCACCTTTTAGCACCACATCAGATGTTTCACTGCTATTCATAAAGTTATCATTGACCACTTTTCAAAGAATTAGATTATCAGGTTCTTCTTCCTAGTGTTTTAATCTGGAGGCTCTGCTAAAACCTATCCACCATGTGTGACCATGACCGTGCCATGGGCATGTTTCAGCATCACAGAAGACAAACTGAAAGATGAGTAGTAGAGGTCCCTGACTAACTTGACACAAAGAAAAGCCTAATGATTTTGATATATATAACTAAGGCCTACAGAAAAATGAAAATTGGAATATGAGGCCGTACCCCCCCACCCAAAAACCGGAATTGCTCTGGGTGGAGTGGAGCTTTTGTAGTATGCATTCTTCTTCTTTTTTTTTTTAGTATGCATTTTTCCCACTAAGCAATCATTGCACAACTCGCTCTGAGTTAGTGCACCCAGTGGTGTCACCTGGGAAGATTCTCTCTGGCCACAGTGAATTTTTTTGTAAAAGCAGTTTCACTAGAACCTCATTTTTTTTCCTGATGGCCAATTTAAGAGAACAACGTGTGGCTGTGAAATTTTGTTTCCTGCTTGGGAAAAATGCAGCAGAAACTGTTGTGATGTTGACACAGCTTACAAGGACCAATTATATGGGAAAAATTCAAGTGTACAGGTGGTTTTCTCATTTCAAAAGAGGTGAAATGTTGATTGATGACAAATCTCATTTTGGATGTCCGCCAACTTCCTGAATGGTTGAAACTGTTGACTCATATTGTATTTGGTGTTCATTCAACCAGGTCAGACTGTTAATCAAACTTTCTATTTAGAGGTTTTGAAAAGATAGCGTGATAGTGTATAAAAACAAGCCTGACTTATTGCAGATGGGGGTCTGCACCACAACAATGCATCTGCTCATGTAGCCATCTGAGTGCGTGAGTTTTTGGCAAAATGCAACACACACACCCCAAACACCACCACCCCCTCCAACGTTCAAACCAGCATAACTCTTTCCCCACTCACCTTACTCACCTGGCCTTGCTCTATGGGACTACTTTTGTTTCCCTGAATGCAGAGGGACATGAAGGAACAACAATCTGACAACATAGAAGAGGTGAAAAAAAATGAGAAGGTTGCTGTCAGCCATCCAAACAGATGAGTTTAAAAAATGTTTCTAAGAATGGAATTGCATATTTCACAAATGTATTAAGTGTAATGGAGAGTACTTTGGAGGTGATAAAGTTGTTTGGGGAAAAAATTTAAATTCATAGCTTTGAGGTGATGGTGGGCAGAAAAACATTCTGTTTTTTGTGGGGGTGCCCCCTTGTACTACTTTATAGGTGTACAGGGAGAGTTGTATATTTAGGGTCACTTCATAAAGAGAAAGAAGTCCAATTATAACCAAAATATTGGATTCAGAAATCTAAACTATTGATTTGTGTTGGATGAGCTCATGAAAAAGGCAAGGGCAAGGAGGTCACCAAAATAATAGTGTTATCTCTTCTACAAGGAAACAGGAACACTGGAAGTTTGCTTCTCTGGTCCCAACTGTGATAGGTAGGTTTATTGTGCTAACATGGCCAATCAACATATGTGAGATTAATTGAAGGGCAGAGAGATAAATGGCTTGGTGAGCCTCGCCTTTCTTGCATTGTTCTTTGATGATTGGACCAGTGTGCAGCTTGTTCTCTGCCTCAATTTGCATGATTCACTACCTGTGGGGCACCTAACCCATGGACTGTGTTGCTGTAGTTTGAGGTTCCTTCAAGACCTGCGTTGCCACACTACTGGAGTATACATTGCTTGAGCTGGGGACATCCAGTCAGACCATGTCACCTGTTGGTGACCTGCCTTGCTGTTTGCTGGCTGTGGCCGGATAGCTTGGATTGCTGTACAGAGGACAACCCGGAGGCCCTCAAGACTTGAAGAACTTCCAGTGTATTAGCTGTCTCACAGAAGTGAGTTGCACTGAGTCATTTGTACTGCTTTATAGATTAATTAACTTTATTTATTATGTTTTGTCTATCTATCTATATGAAAATATATTTATATACATGAATATATATAAAACATTAGTGTCCTGGTTTTGTTTCTCTAGAGAACCCTGTGTAACATACCACCCAATCTAAGGTCTAAGTGTTCTTGCAACTCTTCTTTAAATTTCTAGAGGTTTTAGCCCTAGGGATGCACTACCACTCAGGCACTATTCCCTATTAATTTTTTTTTACCCTTTTATAGTAAAAAAATACACACACACACACACACACACACACACACACACTCTCTACTTGGCCAATATTACATGAGTAAGTATCTGACAATGTTTCAATGCTACCCAAAAGTTTTTCCATGGCTAATGCTACCCAAAAGTTTTTCCTCCGAAGTGGACAGCCTATTTCTTCTTTATAGTCTGTTATTATTCTTGAAACTCTCTTGACATCTGTTTGTTTCAAGGAATCCTGTTGGTATTTGAAATACCCGTGACACAGCTTCCAGAATCACAGCAACCCACACGCTACCACAGTACAACAACCTGACAGACAAATGGTGCTGCATTCCTGCACAAGACCTTTTCAAAGTGCAAAAAGCAAGGATTTAATTCTGAGAACTACAGTGCCCCTAACCCAAGCCTTAATATTTTCAATCACCTCATATGTAGGTGAAAGCTGGACACTGAATAAAGAAGACTGATGAAGAATTGATGAGTTTGAATTATGATGCCCTCAGCAAAGAATATTGGAAGTACTATGTATTGCCATAGGAGCAAACAAATCTGTCTTCGAAGAAGTGTAGCCAGAATGCTCCTTAGAGGCAAGGATGGTGAGACTTGCCTCATGAACTTTGGACATATTGTCAGGAGAGACCAGTCCATGGAGTAGGATATTATGCTTGGTAAAGTGGAGGGGTAGCAAAAATGAGGAAGACTTTCAACGAGATGGATTGACACAGTGGCTGAAACCATGACCTTAAATATAAGAATAAATGTGAGGATGGCACAGGCCATGGCAGTGTTTCATTTTGTTGTGCAAAGTATTGCTATGAGTCAGAACCGACTTGATGGCACCTAACAAAAACTAATACATGAGTAGTAAAACTTCTGACTTGAAAAAAAGAAAGACTGAAAAATAATCACTCACAGAGAATCTTATAATCCTATGAGCATCTTCTTCCATCTTCTCTTAGCCAGATTTACAGGTAAAATATCCTTGGTAGGAGTTACAATTATTGCCAGAAGAAGCATATTAAATAATTTACAGTGTGTGGCAGCTGTTTTCAATCCAGAGAGTTTTTCCTGACTGAGTGGCTTTACCCAGTCCACAGCTACATTTCTTTAAAAACTTTATTCTTAAGTTAAAAAAAAGAAAAAGAAAATATAAAAATGATATCTATCTATTGATATATCTACATCTTTATGACTGATATGTTCCACAAACCCTTAGAGTTTCTCTCCTCTGAGAATCCGCGCTTCCTACAGGCACACTGTATTATGGTACTTTTGGGGGGGATTGAAAGTGGCTCTTCTAAGGAGCTGCCTTGTATGTCAGTGCGCCCAAATGTGACTGACAAATAATAAATGCTGAACAATTATATGCCATTAAGTGCCCATTAAAATCCATATAGGTACTTTAGAATTTCACAGAGTGTTCCTATGATTTCTCTTAATACCTACTTCTACCCTATAGCATAATAATATTATCACGTTATCATTTTTTTGTTTATAGCGTGCAAACAAGAAACAATGAGTTTGAGTATCTTGCTCATTGCCAGCCAAAAGTAAAATGTAATTAGAGTGTGGTCTTCTGATCAGTCTCTTGATACCCCGCAATTTGTTCAAGCCAGTACAAACAACTCACCAAAAATATCACTTTGGAAGGCCAACTTTGGAGGCAGTACTTCTGGATGTCTGCTCCCAGAGGCAAAAGCTTGGGCGGGAACACTAGGACCTTGGACTACATCTCCCAGAGAACCCTGGGAGTACATCTAAACATCAGACGATTGGTTAAAATCCACAGCCAATGGTACTGAGAAGAATTCAGACAATCCAATCATAGGCCAGTAGGGGCGGGCCCTCATGAGCCGAGGCCGGATTGAGCTCAGCAATCTGCAGCATACTGAATGGTCCCAAACCTCTGTGGACCGAGGAGTGAAACGGAACGCTTCGGAGACCCTGTCGTTTGACGCTTCAAGTCTAGTCCTGGGCCCTTCCGGAGACTCCGGTTCTGTGCCATCGGGAACACGTGCGCAGCCAGCTGTCACCTGGCGCCTAGAGCTCGGGCCTGCTGGAGGCGGCCTTCCAGGTACTGGTGGGGAGGGCAGACCCCAGGGTTGAGAGGCCCTAGGCGTCCCTGAGGGATTTAAAACAGTCTTTACAGGCTCATTGGGGGTGGCTGGCCGGCCTTACTCGGCCGTCCCCAGTGGAGGCCGCGTCTTCTCCGAGGCGGCCCCAGTTTAGGAGGGAGAGAGTCTATTGCCGGTCCTCCGCCCCGCTAGAGAGGCTGCAGCCTGTTAATCCAGAGAATTTGTTGCTGCAGGCTTCCGTTGCTTCCGTATTGATTCGTGCCTGGCCTTGTAAACTCTAAGGGGGGGGGGGGGCTTCCTGGAGGCTGTCAGAAATGCTGTGTCAATTGCTTTTGAATTTTGGGGGGCAAGCCATAGGCCCCACCGTTTTGCTCTACACCTTCCTTGGTCAGCACACCAGTCAACGCGTAGACCACATCTCTCCCACAGAAATAAGCCGTTACCATAAGAGTAACTCCTGCTTTGCCGATATATAAATGTTCAACGGTGCAGATATGTGGACGCTGTTGTCAGATTTTTGCTGTTGAGTTTATTTTGTTTTATTAATTTCTCGTTCTGATTCAATATTTGTTGAGCATCTTCTGTGCACAGCCAAAGGAAGGTCAAGCTTTGAGGGACAAATTTTTATTTTTTAATTCAGGGGGTAGGGCAACAGTTCTGTAAGTTTGTTAAAATACTAGATAAGCAGGCCCCACTTGAGTGAAATACCAATTTATGGTATTGGGACTAGGGTAGTAGTCTTATCAAGGGAATCTGAAGTAGATTATGAGCTAAGTCTTGAGAAAAATGTACGTAGTTTGGTATAAGAACTGAATATATTTTCATTCCTTGGATTTCCTAGACTAACTCATTATGGTAGTAGAAAGCCTCATCTTTCTCCCAAAGAGTCGATGCTGGTTTGCGTAACCCACAATGCCACCAGGGCTCCAAATGAATTGTGGGTTTCTATTTCCATCCCTGGTTAAATACACATAAGAAAACACTCGAGGAGTAAAGTAGGGGATGTAGCAAAGAGAGAATCAGTAATAGAACAGTTATAGTCTTGTGACAGAAAATGAGGATGTCCTGCTCCAAGAGGAGGATGAACACCAAATTAATAAATAAATTAATTAAGCAACTCCTTGAAAATTTACCAGAAGTTACCTAGTGACTGCTTTTAGGATTCTGATAAATGTGACTGAGAATTGTTCTTGAAACCAGTAGAACTGTGATTGAGAAACATTTTATCACTTGTTATCAGATAAGACATATCTCTGTTATTTGACCTTTTTTTAACTCATTCTTCCCATTTAATTTCTCCATCTGAATGTAGGTATTGTTAAAAGCAGCAAAATGCCTTGGGAGTTGTTTGGATCTAGTCCAGTGCCCTCATCTCCACATTTGAACCCCAAGTTAACCAAGTTTAGAGTCCCCTTATGCAAGATGACACAACCTTGGTTAATGAAAGTGGGGACTAGAAGCACTTGCTGATGAAGACCAAGGATTGCAGCTTTCAATTTGGATTACAACTCAATGTAAAGAAGACTAAACTCTTTAAAACTAGATCAATAAATAACATGATAAATGGAGGAAGGTTTGAAGTTGTAAAGCATTTTGTCTGTTTAGGATCCACAATCTGTGCTAATGGAAGCAGCATTTGAGGTCAAATGATGCATTGCATTGGGTAAATCTGCTGTACAGGATCTCTTTCAAGTGTCAAAAAGCAAGCTGGTTACTTTGAGGACTGAGGTGTGCCTGACTTCAAGTTTTCATATGCATGTAAAAGTTGAACATTGAATAAGGAAGACTGAAGAGGAATTGAAACGTTTGAGTTAAGGTGCTGGTAAAGAATATTCAAAGTACTGTGGACTGCCAAAAGAAGAAACTGCTGTCTTGGAAAAATTGTAGCCACAGTGCTGCTTAGAGGCAAGCATGGCAAGACTTAAATTCACACACTTTGGACATGTTATTAGGAGAGACTAGTCCCTGGAGAAGGATGGCATTTTTGGTAAAGCTGAGAGCAATGAAAGACAGAAAGACCCTCAACAGGATGGATTGACACAGTGGCTGCAACAATAGGCTCAAGTATAAGAACAATTGTGAGGATGGTGCAGAACTGGGTGGTATTTTGTTTTGTTGTACATATAATTGCTGAGTCGTAACTGAGTCTGCACATACCAAAAGAACAATGGCAAAGTCCCTTTCAAGTACTCTGAGCCAGGCCCTTAGACCTAGATAAGACTTCAGATTTGCTTCTGCTTTTCTGTCCGGAAAAACGGTGTGCTAGAATTAGAATCACCTTTTAACTTGCTAAAAAATTTCTTAGTTGCTTACTGGTATCCTCTTCTAAATGGAACTTTTTAATGAATTGTGAACTGAACCTCAAGGTTGGGCTTTATGGTTAAATTTTCATGACCTCAGACCATGGTTGTAGCCCCTCAGGAAGGACATTTGTTGGCCAGCAAATAATTGTGAGAAAATTTTAAACGACAACTTCTAGATTTCATCATCTTTTATGGCATTGTTATGTTCTGTCCAGTTGGTTCTAACTCGTAGTACAACAGAACAATGTTGCCTGACCCTGAGCCATCCTCACAACTGTTATGTTTGAGCCCATTGGTTACAGCGACTGTGTCAATCCATATCCTCAACAGTCTTCTTCTCTTTTGCTACTTTGGTACTTTCAGTATTTTTCCCTAGAACCATAATACAAATGAATCCTTATTCGGTCTTCCTTATTCATTGCCCAAATCTCACATGTATATGAGGGCAATAGAAAATATGGCTTGAGTCAGACTCATTTGAGTTTTCAGAGCAACATATTTGCTCTCCAACATTTTAAAGTGGTCCTGTGCAGCAGATTTGCCCAAGGCAATACATCATTTAATTTTTTGACAACTTTCCATGAGCATTGATTGTGAATCCAGGCAATATGAAATCCTTGACAACTTCATACTTTTTGTACCATTTATCATGATGGTCCAGTTATGAGGATTACTGTCCCAGTTGGGAGGACTTGTTTTCTTTATATTGTATTGTAATCTCTACTGAAGGCTGCAATCTTTGTTTTTCATCAGGTTCTCTTCACTCAGCAATCCAGGTGGTATCATCTACATATTACTTGTTGATATGTTTCCTCCTATCCTGATGCTGTTATTCTCAAGGTCAGCAGATTGAATCCACCAGCGGCTCCTCTGGAGAAAGGGGGCTTTCTATTCCTGTAAACAGTTACGGTGTTGGAAACTCACACGGCAGCCCTACCTTGTCATATAGGGTCACCATGAATTATCATTGACTTGATGGCAGTGGCATTGTTGTCAATTTTACCTCATTAGATCTTAGAAAGAACATAATGCTCAAAAAAAAACATTTTACTAGTTAAGCTAAATTTACTTGGTTTTAAGAAGACTTCATGTGTTGTTTTTCGTTTATGTTTAAAGATTATTTCAGAGGTTCATTTAACTGTTAATTACTCCAGAAGTTCTAGAGTACATGAGCATTTGAAAATTTCTTCTAAATTTCGCATTTTGATCAGTACCCTTCTTTGGAATCTTTGATCATAATGGATTTTGTGTGACTCCAAAATTCAGCACAGGTTTTTCTCACTTTTCATTACTTCTTGGAATTAAGGGCAAAGAGCCTGGGAGAGTTGAGTTGGTATTAGGTAATCATTATTTTATAGGTGGTTTGGAGGAGTATAATACCCTGTTGGCAGGTGACAGTTTTGATAACAAGTTAAGAGGAAGGTTGGTGTTTCAGTGGTTTCAGTTAGCCTGCTAATCCCTTCTAAGGGAGCATGTGCACAGACTAACAAAGGAACAGAGTCCAGAGGATTTGCAGTAACCTGCCCTGGTCTTGGGTTAGTTGGCTTTTTGCTACCTATTTTCCTCATCCCTGAAACGTTAATAGCCACACCTGACATAACTTTTGATTTGGCGCTTCCCCAGTGATTCTGTGTTGTGTACAATCTTCTATTGCATTAGGCATTTTTATGATTTAATGAAAGCAGTCAACATGTTCCTAATGCTGCAGAGTAATAAGTGCATTTTTATGTTCTCTGATGCTCTCACATAAGTGATCATAAACTACTCCTAACTTACCCTTCATACATCTTTTTGACCTTTTTCAAACTATTTAAAGCAGGTATGAAGAAAGCCCATCAGGATGAGATTGGAGCCATCTTGCAAGAGAGGATTATGGTACTTGATGGAGGGATGGGGACCATGATTCAGCAGTACAAGCTAAATGAAGAATCCTTCCGTGGTCAAGGATTTAAAGATCACTCCAGACCTCTGAAAGGCAACAATGACATTTTAAGTATAACTCAACCTGATCTCATTTACCAAATCCATAAGGTAAGATATTCACTACTTCTTGTATTCTCAGACATTGAGCAAAGTGTTTTGTTTACCAAGGGCAGACTACTATGCTTTGTGCCCTTGAAGATAGTAGAAGAAAGGGAATTTTTTTCTTTTCTATTTTTTAGAAAACAGGTATTGGAAACTAGAAACAGTAATGCACTGTCTTGGGCTCTTGGAATAAGGATATGAAGAAGGTATGTTTTTTTCCCTTCAGGCATTTATATTCCAATGAAAAGTTAGTAAGCCTGAATACTTTGGAATTTTTCTCTCTAATGCATGTGATAGTGAACATCTTTTTTGTAATCATCAGTATTCCTCATTTCCTCCTAACCTCCCTTGCCATTCCCCCAAGGAACCATTAATCCAGTTACTGCCTCTGTAGCATTAACTATCCTGGATTTCTTTTTAAGTACATTTTTTATTAAAAGACAATTTTATTGGGGGCTCTTACAACTCTTAAAACAATCTTGATACATCAATTATATCAAGCATATCTGTACATATGTTGCCATCATTCTTTTCTAGACTACTTTCTATTGAGCCCTTGGTATCAGCTCCTCTTCCCCCCAACTCCCCACCCTCATGACCCCTTGATAAATTATAAATTATTTGCATATCTTACACTAACCACTGTCTCCCTCCCCGCATGGTGTGTGTGTGTGTGGTTATGTGTCCAGCATTGCTATTGGTTCCCCCTTCCTCCCCTCCCTCTCCACCTTTCCCCTACCTTTCTGGTATTACTATTATCATGCCTTCTTATCTGTACCTGTATACATGCTCCGGTCTAGCCCACAGTGAAAGGCAGGACTGGGGTCATGATGGGGAGGTGAGGAAGGCTCAAGGAACCAGAAGAATATTGTGTGTTTCATCCGTGCTTTACTATGCCCTGGTTGACTCATCCCTTCCCTGTGACCCCTCTGTGAGTAAATGTCCCATTGTCTACAGATGGGCTTTGGGTTTCTGCTCCGGCCCCCCTTGTTCTCAACAATACGTTTTTTTGGTTTTGTTTGTTTGTTATGGGTTTCTGATGCCTGTTACCTGGTTCCGATGACTACTCATGATTGCACAGGCTGGTGTGCATCCTCCATGTGAGTTTGTTGCTTCTCTGCTAGGTGGCCGCTTGTTTAACTTTAAGCATTTAAGACTCCAGACACTATATCCTTTGATAGCTGGGCACCATCTGCTTTCTTCACCACATTTGTTTATACAACCATTTTGTCTTCAGTGATTGTGATAAGAGGGTGAGCATCACAGAAGCCAGTTTGATAGAACAAAGTGTTCTTGCATTGAGGGAGGGTATGAAGTCCGTCCACTACCTCAGTGTATTGCCATATAAATATATGTACATAGGCTAATACCTCATTTTCATGAATTAATATATTTACATATGTTTGCCTATGCTTCTACCTCCATCCATAGCTTTGCTTTCTAGATCCTTCTTCTGTTTCCTTTTACCTTCCTCCTGTCCCACCATCACGCTGCCCTACTTCTGCCTCTTAGTAATTCCTCTCAGCTAGATTGCTGTTGCTCCAACACCCCCAGGATCTCTA